TCTATTAGAGGTCACCACAGGTTCTCTCATTATTACTGATTTTTCAAACTCATGCCCACTGGATGGCTATTCTTCATCACTTGGGCATTTTCCCTCTCTCCTTCCGTTTTCAGCAGAGGAAGCTTCAAAATGTTGTTTGGAGACTCCCAACAAATCCATTGTCTCTGTGTTTGGTAAGATGACACCTCCCTTTTCAGGGAAAGCCATTGGTTAGATATGGCCAGCCACCGTTCAAGAATCCTGTGATAGAGTTGTTTGATGTTATATTTCCATTTCCATTTCTCTCTCTCTCTCTCTCTTTTCTTTTTTCTTTCTTTCTTTTTCTTTTTTTTTTTTTTTTTGGTACTGGGGAATGAACACAGGGGCACTCAACCACTGAGCCACATCCCCAGTCCTATTTTGTATTTTATTTAGAGACAGGGTCTCACTGAGTTTCTAAGGGCCTTGCTAAGTTACTGAGGCTGGAGATCCTTCTGCCTCAGCCTCCCGAACCACTGGTATGACAGGTGTGCGCCACTGTGCCTGGCTCCACTTCTATTTTAATATTAAAAATATATGCACAATTTGGACTGTCTGGCTGAGCTTCTTATAAAGGAGGGCTGCCTCATGATTTTGGTTCCATTACTTCAATCTGTATTTACGGTCAAGTTGGCAACAAGTGACAATCTAAAGGGACCACATTTACCTTTTGATCGGTTGACAAGTGCATCTGACAGTAAATTGGCTTGACCTCCCATCTACCTCAGACTGGAAGGCTGAGTTCCTCCTGGAGCCAATGGAGAGAGGGCCTCAGGTTCCCACCCTGATACCTCTCTGACCTTTTCCTTGTCCTACCAGGCTTCTTCTCCAGATCTGCTCCCTTAAAGGCTTTGGGACTGGCTGTTCCCTCTGCCCAGATTCTTCTCCCAAATATCTCTATTAATAACTCCCTGTTCTCCTTTGGGGATTTGCTTAAGCCATTAAGTTTCTCAATCCTATTTAAAATGGACTCCTGCCCCCTTCATGCTCTCTAGCACTCTTACCCTCTTTACAGTTCATTTCTTTATCATGTCTGTTCCTTATTGTTCCATGTAGCTCCCTGCATTAGAATGTGTCCCATGAGAGTGGGATCTTTGTTCTGTTCATCGATGTCTCCCAAGCACCCAAAGCAATGCTTGACACACTGTAGATGCCTAATAAACTCTTGATGAATGAATGAATTCTCTAATGCCTAATTACTAACAATCACCACCTCGTGACTGCTCTTGTATTCAGTGATAAATCCGTTAATTAGTTTTATAAAAACAAAACTCCTCTTTTCAGTGATAATTTGCCATGAAAGACATTTTGCAAAGTTTTAACATGGGACTCAAATGTTTGTATTTTTGGAATGGATGGGGGAGTGTAGCTCAGTGATAGAGAGCTTTGGCCAGCATGCAGGGGCCCCTGGTTAATCCCCACCATCACACACAAAAAAAATAAAAATAAATATGTGTGTTTCTCAAATGCGGAGTCCAGGAGCATGGGCTGAATGGATAAGGGTCCTGGGTTTGACACTCTCTAGCATGTTCCTGACTGAGCACTGGCCACTTGTTCCTCTCTCTCATTTTCAAGCCAGGAAAAGGCATCCTGTCACCATCTGCCATTATTGGTCATTTCTGGTGTGGTAGACATAACCACTTCTCCCTCCAAGAAGAGTCTCCTCATTTTTTTTTTTTCTTTTGGTACTGGGGATTGAACTCAGGGACACTCGACCACTGAGCCACATCCCCCGCCCTATTTTGTAATTTATTTAGAGACAGAGTTTCACTGAGTTGCTTAGAACCTCACTTTTGCTGAGGCTGGTTTTGAACCCTTGGTCCTCCTGTCTCAGGCTCCCAAGCCGCTGGAATTACACCCGTGCCGGGCTCTCACTTTCTTTGGATAATTTTGGAGTAACCATTTTTCCCCCTCTTGACCTCATTTATTTCTGTTTGACAACATTTAAATTCATTCCATTTTCCCTCATAATAAAAGAAACACACTGGCCAGGCTTGGTGGTGCATACCTATAATCCCAGTGGCTTGGGAGGCTAAAGCAGGAGGATCTCAAGTTCAAAGCCAGCCTCAGCAAAAATTGAGGTGTTAAGCAACTCATTGAGACCCTGTCTCTTAAAAAATACAAAAATAGGGCTGGGGATGTGGCTCAGCGGTTCAGTGCTCCTGAGTTCAACAATCCCTGGTACCAAAAAAAAAAAAAAAAAACAAACAAAAACATGTTTTTTGTAAAATAAGATTTTTGTGAATTCTAAAGGTATATGAAGAAATAGAAGCCCCACAACTTGAGGACCTTCTGTAGCTTATTTCTCTGACTACAAATGTAATAGTGGGACACAGCCATTTTAATATTTTGGTGTAGTTTATTTGGTCTTGTAGTGTCAAGGATCAAACCCAGTTACTCATGCATGACAGGCTAGCACTCTACCACTGAGCCACAACCCAAGATCCTTGGTGCAGTTCTTTCTTGTCTTTTTCCTATGTGTACCTATTGAGTTGAAATATAGGAAACTGCCCATGTTCAACCATTTTTGACCCACACATTGGCAATATTCTACGTTTCAACCTGGTAATTCTCACAGTTGAGTCCATACTGTGCATATAATTTTACACTGTTTTTCCATGCTATTACAACAGCAACATTTGCCCAAGTATTTCCGGATTCTGGGCCCTTCCTGGACTTGCATTAGCTGCACAAATAATTCATGAACATTAGCATGTCGGCTGGGAGCCCCACCCTGTCAATCACTGAAGCAGTTCAAGTGGAGCCCAGACTTGCTGAGTCTTCATATAAATGACAGTCCTCACCAATTCTTCTAGGAATCTCTTCCTATAAATTTCTCCAACCAACTGCTGGTGTGCAGTGCCTGCCACCAGATCTTCTGTCCAAACGGCAGTTTCTGGGAATGTCGCTAATGACTGTTTCGTTTCTCATCTCCCCGTCCCTCCTGCATGAATCTGGTCCATTACTAGTGACGTGTACTCAGCTTGTGGCTTATCTTCCTCCCCAGTGAAATGACCCTCTTTGATTTGTTGTTGCTGTCTCTTGGTTTCTGGATTTCTGGGCTAGTCTACCAGTATGTTTAAAAGGGAGAGCCGATTAGTTTTGGGGGGTTTAACAACAGGAGCAGTGCTCCCCGTGTGACCTCTGACTTTGCCTCAGCAAATAGTATCAAGGCGGTCAGCTCTACATCTTATCAGCGAGTTCCTGAGAAGTTCATGGACCATGGTTACACTGAGTTGTGACCCTGCCCCCAAAATTATTGCCCAAGAACAGTCATCTATGTGGGTTCTGTCTGAACCAGCCTGGTTATCTAGATTCTGTGCAGCTTTGTTCCCAACTGGGCCTAATTTGCTCTAGATTTGGCTATGTTCAACTACAGACCAGGGGTCCCTCCAAAAACCCCATTTGAATAAGGTTTGAGAACTTCTGATACAAGATCAACTGTCTCTGCTGATAATAACATTATGTCTCTCCAGGTACAGCAGAGTAAAAAGGATGAACTTTAACATTTTGGCCCTAAGAATAAGAGAGTAACAGGAGACCAGAACATTTAAAGGTAATATGTAATCTATGAACACATCAAAGGATAAAGAAAATAAGGCAAAAAAAAAAAAAATCCAAAATAAAATGCCCTGTGGCTCCTCTTATCAAAACACAGTAAGCTGCCACACATAGAGGCAGAGGACCCTGAAACCTGACACCCTGGTTTTGAAATCAAACTAACTTGCATTCAAATCCTGACCCTGTCTGTTCCCAGCTATAAACAGGGCTGAGATTGCCCTTCATTAAAACTGAGCTGAAAAAAATGTCCACTGTGAGGATGGGAAAACTTGAAGAGAGAATACTGGCCACACTTGAACTTGATCAGAGTCATGGTTACTATTAGACTTAACAAAACAAAACAAAAAAAATTGTAATTTGGTCTTATGTTTTTATTATTGCAAAAACAACATTACAGCATGAATCAACTCTGTTATCTAAGCTCTTTGCTTAGATAAACTTGAAAAAAATAACCCTACTACAAAAAAAAAAAAATCAGACTTGACACTTTTCTCTATTTCCTTCTGAACTTGGTGATGGGGCTACGTCATCTTTACCCACTTGCCTCTCAGCTTCTTAACTTATCACATTCCCGAAGTCTTCCTGGCACGGCATGTTCTAACTCAGTGTAAAAGTTATTATTTCAACCAATATACCCTAACCTGATAGTCATGCCTCTATTGTTGAGCACTTATTTCCAGTTTGGGAAATATCCTTTCATTTGGTTCCTGTTATGGTAATTTGAAATGCGTGATTAAGAAAAAAATAGGTCTTTTCATTTAGGTATACGGATATTTCTAGCTCGAATTTGAGAACACTGCTTATGGTAAGCAATGTTAAAAGAAAATAAAGATGGTTTCAGTCTAGTGGATTGCAAATTGGGATAACTCCAGGAACTCGCATGTCCCTTCACCTCGGGTTTTCGCATCTCGACAGCTGTCAACTTGGTCTGAGGATGAAGAATAACTGAGAATGAGATTTGGGGAGCGGGGGTCTGTAGCAAAGTTCACAGCTGAGTGCTAAACCATGTGCAAGGCCCTAGGTTCAATCCCCAGCACCAAAAGAAAACAAAAACTTTTAAAGTGGACCAAATTCGTGTTAATTCAATTCCTCACACTCCACCCATATGAAAGCGTGGGAATCCGTATTACTTGAACACAGAGAGGGAAAGGTGCTCGCCTCAGATCCACAGCAGCTAGAGATGGAGAGAGTACAATGCCTTCTGCTAACTCGGAATTGTTTTCCCACTGCACTTTGGGGGGCGGGGGGAACTTCCCCAGCCGCTCCCGGGAGAAGGCGGAAGGGCGAGCCACCAAAGGCCAGGTGGAGCTCTGTGGGGCGTCGCTGGCCCTCCAGAGGGCTCCTCCTTCCCGGAGCTCAGCCCCGCCCGGCTCCGAGCATGCCCAGTGCGCTCCCCGCCGGTCCGAGCAGTATTGGGCAGGCGCTGCGGCTCCAGGTTTTGCCGGCGACCCGGCCCGACCGGGGCGGGGCGCCTGCAGCGCTGCCCTAGGGACTCCCGCTCCATCGGAATTCCCCCGACGCGACGCCCGGGCGGCGCCCGCATCAGTGGCGCTACCGCGGGACGTGTGCCACGGTGACAAGGACTAAAGTGAGGTATCTGGCATTGCCGGGGTCTCCGCACGGCTCTGGGACAGATGGCTCCCTGGACCTCGGGTAATCGGATCGGGACCGGAGGGTCCCAGGCTTCTCTCCATCCTTCACTTCACGCACTCATCCAACACGTGTTCATACTCTGTGCCAAGCGCAGCTGAAGGGCCAGGGTCACTGCAGCGGACAGGCAGAGCTACAGCCCCAGAACTGACGTTCCGGAGGGGCCACCCCTGAAGAAGTGAGCAAATCGGGAAAGGCCAAAGTTGGCTCTCTCGCTGTTCCTTCCGCAGTCTTGCGCTTTTTTGCACCGGTTGGTTCCTCTCCCAGGAATGCTCTTCCCGTTCGTCTGAGGGGCTGAAATGTCACCTCTCAGTGTCACCCGATCCGCCACCCGATTAGACTACTCCATCAGCTCAAGGGCCTGAACTGACCGCTTCAATGAAAATTGCACCAACTCCACCCGCAAGCCTTCTCACCTGGCACTTTTCCCATTAAAGAACTTCTCACCTTTCCTGTGCTACTTCGTTTGCTAATTTGCTGTTGATCTGTTGTCGGGTCTCTCTTCCTGCAACCCCTACCCATGGGGTAGGGTTTTGTCTGTTTGTTAACTGCACGTGAAAAAACGGGAGCAGGAACTCAGCAGTATTGGTTGAGTGGATAGTGACAAATGCTTTGAAGAAAATTAAGAAGTCGAGGGCCAATTTAGAAAGGTGGTCAGGGAAGGCCTCTCCAATGAGGGGATATATGTACAAGGAGGAGGCGCCAGACACGTGAAAAGCTGGGCAAAGGCGTCCTACAGAGGGACAGACGTGCAATGTCCTGAGGCTGCTCAAGCCCTGAGTGTCCGATGAACAGAAAGGTGCTCCTGGAGCTGGAGGAAGGCAGGGTGAGAGGAGGCTTAAGAGTCAAGTAGCAACACGGATCAGGTAGGGGGCCCCACAAACCATGGATGGAAAGGTTTCACCCGGGAAGCTTTCTACAGCAGCCGGACTAGCATGGCACTGAGAGCCAACAGGACCCCATTTCAGCAGCTGACCCGCCGTGTAAGACCCCTCTCCCCCTCGTTTTAAAGAGTTCTTGGGCGCCAACTGTTTGCCATTTCTCGGCATGAAATCATGGTGAGGGCCCAGCACATAGTAGGTGTTCAATAAATGCGTAAGAAACGAACGCCTGCGTGCGGGAGCCAGGGAACCGGGGCCGGTCCTGAGCTCCGCGGTGGTGCCAGGTGGTCCTGGAAGCCGCGCAGGAGCGCGCTGCCCGGGGCGGGGGCGGGAGCGCCCCACAGGCCGGCCCGGGCACCCGCCCCCCGCCCGGCGCGCGGGCCCGTCGCGGCCAGCCCGGCCGGCGGGAGCCGCCCGCGGGCGGCACTGGGCATGCTCAGACGGCGGCCAGGTCGCGCCGCGAGCGAGCTTCCGCGCCGCCCGCACGCGCGACCTACCTGGGCGCCCCGCGCCCCCGGATGCTGCAGGTACGGGCCGGCGCGACCCCAGAGGACCGGGGGCAGGGTGCGGACGGCCGGGGCTAGGGGCGCACTCGGCGCCGCCCCGCCCCCACTGTCCCCAGGCGCGCGGCGGACGCGCGGGCGGGCTGGCGGCGCGGCGGACGCGGGGTCCTGGAGCCACGTCGGGGCGGGGAGGGGGCGCCGCGCCGCGCTCACCTGGCGGGGCCGGGGCAGAGGGCGGGGGCCGAGGCGGGCGCGGTGGGGCCGGGGCGGGCGTCCGGGACGCCGGGCGCGGCGGGCGTGGGCGTGCGCTCCGGCCGAGCGGGGAGGGCGCAACCCGCCGAGCCCGGTGCCTGCGCGCGGGAGGGCCCCGCGCCGCAGCGACCCCGGCTCCGGGCGCCCAGGGGCGCACCGCGCGCGGGGAGCGAGCCTGCGGGGGCCGCCAGAGCTCGGTCTCCGGGACGAAGCCGCCTCTAGGCTTTCAAAGATGGCATTTCCTGGGCCTGGCACGAACTCCAGCGCCAATAAACCCTCCCGTTCCGCGGGCGATAGGGAATGATTTATCAGGTAACTGCGGTGAGACAGCTGCAGTGGGGGAGTGTAGGTGAGAGCGCTCATCTCCCGGAAATGCCCGTGTTCTGCCACCTAAACTTACTGAGAAGTTGCAGTTGCCTTAAAAATTTATGGGAAGTTGGGACAACTTGACACCTGGGTTTCCCGAGGTGATGGAAGGATCTTGTGGCTCGGAAACTGGAGACCTGTGTTCAGGTTGGGCTCCCCCTTGGACAGCTGGTGTCCTTGAGCAAGTCGTTTAACCTCTCTGATCCACCATTTCCTCCTCTGCAAACAGCCGGTAATAATACCCACCTCATTGGGTTGTTGGTGGATTAAGTGGGATAAATTATGTGGAGGTGTTTGGCTCTGTGCCCGGCACAAAGCAAGCGAGCAGTTGGCGTGATGTGAATTTAATTCATTTAGAGACCCTCGTGGCTCCCATTTCACCAGGAAATTAGAATTAGCAAAGCATCTTCTGGGCCTGTCTGTGCCCAGGAGAACTTCTGCTGAACGCAGAGGCTTTGGAAAAACAATTTCCCGAAGTGTAATCAGAGAGCATCTTCCTTAAAAGCAGTTTTATGCATTCAGAAACTCCAGAAGTTGGCAGTTTGGCTTCACTTACAAAAGAGCTGTTTTGCAAGATGGATCATCTTGCAAATGTTTAAGCAGATGATTTGAGAAAGTAAAGCCTGTTTAGGAGGATTTTTGTTCTACAAAACTCCCAGGCCCAACTTTAAGCGATTATTTGGATCAGGATTTCTCAACCTCACACAATTGACAGTTGGGGTTAGATAATTCCTCTTTGAGGGTGCTGTCATATGCATTGTAGACGTTTAGCAGCATCCCTGGTCTCTACTCAGTATACTGCAGTAGCAATCCCTGTCTCAGTTGTGCCTCCAGACATTGTTAAATGTCTCTTGGGGGCTTAGTGCCCCCCCTTCTCCTTTTAAACTGCCAATTTAAATAATCCCTGTTTTCTGACATTAGCCTGAGTTATTTGAGAATTTCATCTTGTGCATTTTTTTTTTCTTTTTTTTAGTGGTGCTAGGGATTGAACCTAGGGCCTTGTGCATGTGAGGCAAGCACTCTACCAGCCCCCATCTGTGCATTTATGATAATAATCTTTGCATCACCTTCTGGAGCTGTATGGAGTTACCAGTATCATCTCATTTGATTTTTTACAACTCCCCCATGGGGCTGGTGTTACTCCCATTTCACAGATGAGGAAACTGAGGCTCTGAGCAGTCAGTTACATAGTATGTGGTACAACTGTGTTGTAACCCAAGTCTTCTGGGTCCCAGGGCAAATCTTTCTCTCATGCATCCAACTGCCCTTTGTCACATGCAAGCCTTCACTTGGATGACTTTCCTCGTGATTGAATCAGGATGTAGAATATATTGGAAGCTGGAAACCTTTCTGACTAGTTGAAAATTAACAAGAGTAGGCCATTATCTGGGAGAGAGTAGGCTGTTCTAGTTAAATATTCTAGTTTATAGCGAGCTCTCATAAATCCCACATACACTTAATGGAATACCAATTTGCAGAGAATTAGAGTAGAATAAAACGTGCCTAATACTCTATATTGATCCTGGTTGTCTCTGGTGATTTGCCTTCTCTTAAAAAGGACTCATATATGCAAATTAGACATTAGCCGGGGCTTGTAAAAGGTCAGGTTACTAAAGGCATTTCAGAATAGCTCCACTGATTGAGCTGCTTCTGTATGGCAGGTGCAGAGCTGGGTGGGGATGCTGAGTTGGACCAGTCCCCAACAAACACAGGGTGCCGGGGTGAACTTCCCCTCAGTTCAGGCCAGGCCAGACCCTTGGTATGCCCTTCTGGATAGCTTAGCGCAGGAGAAGGAGCCCCAGTTACCGTGGAGGCAAATTCAGGATCCCACACTGCTCACTCCTCCTATCTCTGAGCGTTCGCTTTGTCTGTTACACCAGAGGTATTTTGGTAGCTTTTAACATTCTTCAAGTTTTAGGGACCCGGTAAGGGAGGCAAGGTTCATAGACAAACCTTATCTCAGAAAGAAGTTGGGGTTCTAAGATGGCAGATGGTCTCAGGTTTGAGATCAACAAGACCTTTTACTGTGAACTGGAAGGGTTGCTGCCCATGCCTCCTGACTTCCATTCCCTTGCAGGTGAGGAAACTGAGTTAGAAAAGATGGAATGGGACCAGGAGTGAGAGGACTAATTGTCACCTTCTGCACGAAAGGGGTGCCGTTTTCTAGAATGGGAATAACCAGAGGGGACCAGCATTGTGTAGTAGAGGGAGCAGGGAAACATAACACCTCCCTCCCGAATTCTCAGGGACTGGCGCAGATTGAGAGGGATCAGCGGTTTGTGGTTCCTCTCTCCTGACCCCTGAGAACTCCTCTGGACCTAATCCTAGGGTTCACTGTCCTGCCACCAGACAGTGAGTTCCTAGAAAGCAGGACTGATCTTTCCACTTTTCCCAGGGTCTGCAGCAGGGGCTGGAATGCCAGAGGCCTGAGGCCATACCTGGGCTGGCAGGGGCAGGGCTGCTCCCCAAGGGTCAGCTCTCCCTTCCAACTCTGATTCAGACGGGACTGATCCAGGTCCCTTGCACACTGCTCTTGTCTGGGCCCTGGCGACCTCATGACCTCAACCTCCCATCATCCAGGTATCTTCTTTCCTTGGGCTGCAAAGGAGACTAAGTGAAGCTCTTGGTAGGTTCCTGGCTGAAATCTGATCTGGCTATGGCTTCTGAGACTCGAGCTTCTGCTTGTACCTACCTGAAGCCTCCAAATTAGCTGGTTATTCTAAGACCAGCTGTGAGCAGAGTCAACCACAAATTCGGACATTTTTTTTGAGTCTATACTATTTGTCAGGCCAGAGGGCTACAGAGATGAAAGCTGAACCTTGCCTTGGAAGGATTTGTGACACTTGTGCATGTGTGTGTCTCCATCCATCGGCCGTTCATTTTGAGGGGCACCAGGAAATACCATAGGGAGTTGCTGACATTTGCATTAAGCCTTGAAAGTTAAAAAAAAAATGGCATTCAGGGTGAACAGAATAGCAGAAACAGAGATGCAGAGGCATGAAAGACCTCGCATGTTTTAGTTTAGGGTTGAACTCATGGCCTCGCAAAGGCAAGACAGGTGCTCTGTCACTGAGCTCTGTCCCTAGCATGTGAGAGTTTTCATATTTTAGGCCTACGGACTCTTTCCAAACCCATTCTTTTTTTAATTTTTGAGGCAGGGTCTTGCTGTGTTGCCCAGGCTGCCCTTGAATTTCTGGGCTCAAGCGATCCTCCTGCCTCAGCCTCCTGAGTAGATGGGACTAGACGTGTGGGCCAGTGTACTGGCTCAGGCTCAGCCTCTTGACTTGCACTGCTGCAAGACCCCACTCTTATGGACGGGGTGCTCCCCCATCTCTGTGCAGGGCTGGACCTACCCAGCACAGGGGTTAGTGCCAGTTCTTTTTGTCTCCCCAGCATGGGAGTGACACCTCTGGTTGTCTTTGAAGCAGGACCCACTCTGCCTGGGATGCTCTGGTTTTACCTATTCAACCGTAATATGGTACTCCCAGGCGGCTAGCCACTGTTCCCAGTGCTTTCCAAACACTGATTGACTCCTTTAGCCCCGTAGGTAGGTGGGGGCAGAGCTCACCTACGTAATATGTGTATCTGTGCAAGTGGTGTTTTGGTCACTGTAGTCATCTCTGGCTATAACTGACTTTGATGTGCCGGGGAACAGCCGAGTCTGAGAACGTGAGGCACCGCTGACGGCCACAGAGATTTCTCTCTGACCTGTTTCCTTCAGGGGGCCAACAGCGCTCTGCTGACTGCATTTTCTGAACCAAAGACTGGGATGGGTAGCCCAAAAAAGAATGTGCTGCTGCTTTGTACGAGAGGAGGCCTGGGAGGTGTTTGGATACTGAGAGAGTGGAATTTTTGAAACATTTT